TTAATATGGTTCACAATTCGTTTCTCATAATGGAATACTTCATCTGCAAATAGGTCTGCTTCACCGGAAACAATGCCTTAAAATAAAACCAGAAATTTTATAAATTTATTCACATAGAATTTTTAAATAATTTATGTTCCCCGCTTACCCATATTAATAGCGAAATCACGTAGTAGCAAAACGTAGGCACGAACAATCTATAAAGGAAAAGATTTTTAAAAAATATTTTATATTTCAACACCAAACTCTAATACCTCATCATTTTGATCGCGATTGTAGAAATATTGATCCGGTAAACCAATTTCTCCTTCGTCCAAAGTTATTATATAGTCATGAGGTTTATTGAATCTTTAATAGAAATTGAATTTATTTAAACTAATACTCTTGAGTTTCATGCACCGACTTACCGATTTTCTACAGCAACTTTGTAGTATGGAAATATTCCATAAGCCGCCTGTAAATGTACCAACGCCTTTTTGTATTCCCAATATTGTAAACGATTAAAATCTCTAAAAGCTTGCCAACCATCTGTAATATAAAATTAAATAAATATTTATAAATTTTCGTTTTGAAATTGTAAAACACAAGTTGCTTAAAACACGAATACTTTTCAATAATCTACTATTAGTGTATATTGAATATCGTTAGATCATTTCAAAATGTTATTTGTTTTCACACAAATATCCTTTAATTATTTTTATAATCATAACAACTAAGTAAATCACATTTTAATATGACTTGCAATCAGAAGATATAATAACAAGCTTTTAAGCTTATAAATACAGACTTATTCTAAAAATGTAAAGTGCAAAATTGTCTTTAAATAAAATTTCTGGAACATAAGTTTCAATTTAAAACAAAATTTGAGTCCCTATGATTTGTAAGCTATTTTTTGAACATAATATTGATTTCTCATCAGGTGTAATTATGTATAAAATGTCATTTATTAAATATTAAAAAAATATATAATTTTGAACGCAATTAAAAAATGTTTTGTTTTTTATGAATTTAATTTTTATTCTACAAGTACAAAATGTTTGTTTATGAAGTATGGCAACAATTCGTGATTTGTACATTATCTAAACTTAAAAACTAATTAAAACAAAAAACAATTAACAATTCATTTTAACATTTACGTAAAGCATGGGTTAAGAGATGATCACTAAATTCAAATTATTCGATTAAGGTCTAGTGTTTGAACAAAGTTGGCAAGTATTGTGAGCTAGGAGCTTGGACAGCTGGGTGTTTTCCACTAGCTTGACCAATGTTGTTATTTTGAGGACGATAGTTGTAGCTGCCATCGGGATTGAGACCATCTAAGGAGCCAATAACGGAAGTGATAGGGGCGGTAGTTTCATCGGCAACTTCATTGGTGCCACCCAATTTATCGTATTCACCTAAAAATTATCAAAAATAATTTATATTAAGTTTTGTTTCATTTGAAAACATTTTGAAGGTATTTACCTTGAATTTCCTTTTGGGCTTGTTGAGCTTCTTCATCGGTTTTGTATTTAATGAAGAATACTTCAGGTTTGCTGGCGGTGGTGGGAGCAGGAGTAGCGATATCACTAGCATCCAATTCATTGTCCTTCTTGCTCAATACATAAATTACAGTCTTTTCTTCTTGAGGGGCGAATTCAGCGGAATATTTGACATTACCATTACCAGAGTTGGGAGCCTTAATGAATACAACACGGTAGTTCTTTTGTGGACGACCCAAAACCAAGTGCTTATTCTTTGGTTGATTATCATCATCTTCGGGGGCTGAGACAACATAGAATTGTTTGCGTACAATTGGAGCAGCACTGGTAGGTGCAGGAGGCAAATACTTGTCACCACCATGTCCAAGTGTTGAGGGTTGCAAACTAGCTGGAGATAATCCACTAAAGGCACCAGATGGTCCAGAACCTAAGTGTTCAGGTTGTTTATAACCATATTGAGGAGCGGCACAAGCGACAGCCAACAAAGCTGATAGTACAACGAATACGCGCATTTTGATTAAGGATTTTTCGTTTAATGAATTTTTATTGTAAATTGTTTTGAAAATAGTTCGTTCTTCTTCGATTATTTGACTTGTTTCTTGCTTAAATTGTAACACTGCACTGTATACTCATTCTTAATGATCTCTTAACTTTTATACAAAAATTAAGTGATTTTCAAAGATCACGAATTAAAAACAAACATTATAAACTTGTCTTTTTTCATTTTAGTTAATATTTTTAAATATGCAGATTTTAGTCTTTTTCGTTTTGTTTTTGTCTAACTTCTTTGAGACAACACCAAGTTTAGTTAAGCCTACTCTTTAAGAGTAACGATCACCATATTTACACCTTCTACTCGTAGCTGTTGTTGTTGTTGTTGTTGCTATTGCCAACTTTTAGTTGACAAAAATATTTGACCAAACAAACAAAAAACAACAACAATTACAAGCACAAACAGTTGGTTTGGAGTTAGTTGTCCACGTATTTAGGGGTCTTCGCCAAACCACCAGCATCATCGTTTCATCTTCGGTGGTATGTTATTGTTTTTGTGTTTATTCGCAGTTATTTGATATGTATACGAATTGACCGAAATGTTGACCCATAAATTATTTAAATTTATTTATTTCTCTCTATACAGCCGCTTTAAATGTTTTTATAATTATTTTCAATATTTTAAGAATTTAAACTTATTGATATTATAATGACTCAGCTTTTGTTTTAAATTAAAACAACAAAAATTTTAAATTTTCTAAATTTTTTTCTCTAATTAAGATAATAATAAATCGTTTAGATTAAAAACTATTGGCGGCTTTATGCGGCGATATGTTAGATCGTGATCAAAGAATCTATTTTTGGATTTTTACACCTTGATTTAGAGACTTTAGTATTTACTTATATTTATAAATATATGGTAAGGTTAGGATGATAGGAGGATGTAACTAAATCAAATAAAATCAGAAGAAATATATTTAGGCCACTGTCGGGCCTGTTGTGAGCTTCTTTTCATGGAAAATGTTTGTTGGTAAAAACAAAAACCTTGCTGAATGTATTATCGTCCGATGTTCAGAGACTCAGTTTCCTGAATGTAATTAATAAGAATTACGAGGGATGATGTTATATCTGGAATCATATAACTCCCAAGATATTTGGATCTAATTTCGGCGAAAGCCTAACAATAGCAAACAAGTGCTCCAGAGTTTCACTTTGCTCTCTACATTCCTCTGAAACCGCATGTCCATTTTTGTAAAGCTGTGCCCGTAATCCTGTGTGTCCACTCAGAATACATTGCACCAAGAGGAGTTATGGGTTTAACTTACCCATATGCGTCAAATGATATAGCGTTCGTCACGTTAATTACCTCTAGATCCCTTCCCTTTAAAGCTATTATATTCGTTGCCGACCCATAAGATGAATGTCGAAGGGCTTTACGTGATCACCTGTCATGTTGGCCTTATTTTACGGTAGTTTTTTCAACCCTTTGTACCGCCCCGTGTACAAGCACTTTGCTCAAGTACTCGAGCTATCCAATCTCTTGCCATAGTAACCCCGATTAGGAATAACCGGTATCATGTGTCAAGCCCAATCAAACGCCCACAAAGGAAAATGCAATCACTGGTTTGAGCCGATAGAAGGGGCGGACCCAACATCAGGTGAAAACACCCTATTGTTGCTATGAGGAATGTTGTGTCATTACAAGCATTCATATCATCAAAAGACTCACCCCAATCCATTACTTGACCTCTTAATGTCGCCCAACCACACTACTGAGATGGCTCTGTTTTTTCGGCAACAGCACCTAGGGACAACAATTGACAAAACTTATTTCAGTGGCCACAAGGATCTACCGTGATACGTTAGATAAATTAAATATTAAGGTATTAACAATTCCGCCAACGTATCAACCAACTCCACCGCCACTTTAACCGTCGTTCCATCCTTCATTCAGACAACTCCAAAAATACAACTCAGAATCCCTGTCATCCATCAGATACAAGCTGAAATCCATTTTATTAATCCACAGACTTGCTCTTTGGTTTGTACCGCTCCTAGAAACTATTAAATTTATTCCAAAAATTTATATTTCACCGTGTATCAATCCTTTAACTAAGCACTCCTTCTCGCCGATTTGATCCCGACTTACCAGGACAAAGTCCTGCGGCCAACTGGCCACCCGTAGTACCAGATTATGTGGTGCTCTAGTTCGACCCATTTCATTCCAAGGAAAGCCCGAGGATATATTTGATCATCACCAGTTTATAGTCCCGGAAGATTAGAGGTACTGGTAACACCAAAAAGGGGTATTTCATCAAGGAAACATCCCCGGGAGTACCAATGACGTAAACCTTACCTCTGGGAGAATACTTACTTGCAATCCAACACGGTCTTAGATTTAAGTTTATCGTCGCCCTAATGGCTGTTGGTAAATATGTATGTTAAGACCTGTTTGCGCAATATTTATTCTAGTCCAATTTACGCATTCCGTTATTGATCGGACTTCTGCCTGGAAGCATTAAGTAAACGGCGGTAAATTTATGTTTTTGGTTCTTCAATATTGAACCACAGGTCCACATAGTCAACCAGGCCACTCGTGAACGTTTCTACTTTGGCGTCTATATCCTCTTTATTTCGATATTAAAAAGTGTCCTGTTCTAAATTGTTCTTTAGTAAGATCCCGAACATTGCCCAATTAGTTTTAGATTCCAATCCTTTTTCTCTGATTCTATTGACGAAGGTAGCTTTATTACCTAAGTTCAATGTGATTAAATCTTTAATATTGATTAAATATTTCATGAAAATATCGGAATTTTTAATGGGGTTTCACTATAGCCCAGTAAAATAAGGTTTTTGCTGCGGAATTTTAGATAGCTAAATGAAAATTTGTACATAGCCTACCTTACCATTACCATTATTAATAATAAGGTATTATGTCACCATAAATATCGTGTGCGCCAAATGGGATATTGGCGGTCAAAAGCCACAAAAATCAATTTTTTAAGAATATCTTACTTATTATACGTGGTATGCGTTTTGATGCTATTATAAATTAAATTCCCTACACTTTAGTTGAAGATATATGTGCATATCAATAGTTGTTTTCGAGCTATAGTGCATTATTATACCCTACACCACTATAGTAGATCTGTCCGTCCGTCTGTGTGTCCATGTAAACCTTGTGCGCACGCTACAGGTCGCAATTTTGAAGATAATTTGATTAAATTTTGAAGATGATCTTCTTTTTACCCAAGGACGAAGTCTATTGAAAATGGTTAAAATCGGTTCATTAATTCGAATAGCCCCCATACAACCGTATCCCCGAATAGCGCTTTTGAGTTCATAAATATATTAAATGTTATTGTATCTCTCCAAAAATCACCAAAACTTAATTTTATGTAAGTCCAAATGGTACTGCCAATTTTCGTAATGATCGGGATTTATTTGACCCTTTAAGGTCAAAATTAACTTATAAACGCTAATATCACAATAAAATTTTAAATAAATAACTTTAATGTTACCAAAATTTAAAGAATAGGCCTATATTAACCCCCTGCCCCCATATAACCCCTCTTTTAGAAAATCTCTGTTTTGTCGATACAGATTATGTCGCAAGTGTTCTGCCCTGTATTAGCTAATTTCTGTTACATTTGTTATCACAGCTTCGCTCTCTGGCCCATAGTGCAATGTCCGTCTATCTGAAATTTCCGATAAAGTCTGATTTTCATAAAATTTGGTGGGAAAAATATTTGAATTGTGACGATAAATTTTTTCGAATTCTAATCAAAAATATGACCTGTGATACCATGTGAAATTGTGGATAGACAGACATTGCACTATGGATCATAAAGCCATTCTGAGATAAAACGTATTACAATGTATAAGCATATAGTAACAGCTTATGAATAACGTAATAATTAAGACAAATTTGTTATCTCCAACAAAATGTGGAAAATTCAATTCTCTATATCAAATATAATTACATCAAGGCGTACGATGCATAACAAGTAAGATATTCGCTAAAAACTGATTTTCGTAACCTTTGACCCTCAATATCTAGCTTATCGCACATGATGTTTTCGGTGACTTTTAAATCATTTATTTTTAATTCCAATTTTAATTTAGCTATCTAAAATTCTTCAGATTGCTTTTGTATTGGAATTTAAATTTTAAAACGTTCTCCTGAAAATTACAAAAGACAAATTATGTACTTTTGCCTTTATGCCACAGATATATTGAAGGATAGACATTTTTAAGGGTATTCTTCCCGCTTTTATCATAAATATATATTTTCAATATTTATGTATATTATTTAATTTTTTTAATATCGCATATACTTTGAAACATTAGCTCATCTAAAAGGAAATATGACCCGATATGGAAAACTGAAAACGTAGTTTTCATCAGTCTCTAGTTTTACATGTATAAAGATATGTGAATCTCCGATAGTAGCTCTGTTATGTAAATACTATTGTGTACGAATTATATGTGAACCAGACTTTATATGGCATTAATTAATTCAACTAACTATAAACACATGTGATTAAATAATACTTATTAGAATGTACCAACTGCCACATTGTGGCTAAATATAATATACATATTGGACATATTTGGATTCTTATTTGTTTTCGATACAAGTACATATTCTAATAAATCAAAGTATTTATTGTGTTTTTTTTATTAAATAAAAATATCAACAAAGACAATATTTAAATCAATTTAATCTATAAAAAGAAACAAGGTTAAAAACAATCCCACAATAAAACACTCGACACTAACAAAAACTTGTCTACCAAATATCTCTAGTAACTGTACACGGCGATCAAGCTATTCAAGAACTACTAAATGCCACACACACACCAACAGTTAGATAAAATACAGCCTATCGAAGTTAATAATTTAGAAAAGTCAAATGAATTAATTTATGTAAGAATACTGGCCAAGTAAAATAACACCACATAAATGGCGCCAATTTTTATTGTCAATTAGAGAAACATTTAAATTAGGTGCATAATGTGTTTAAACGAATAACATAAACATTATTTACACATTCGAGTTCAAAATCCTCTAATACACTCGTAATCCAAGTGACAATATCAAATTCGATTTCGCCCGAAACAAGTTTAAAGTTAGATTTAAGCATATTTTTTCAAAATTCTGTCAAAAGCCATAAAGTTGACAATAAATTTTTTTTATATATTTTTTTTTACTTCTCTTTAAAACTTAATGTATACAGAAATTTGAATTTTCTACAACAAAAAAATCGCTATAATTTGTTAATTTTGACAGTTATAAATTGTCAACATAAAATATACACACACATACTATATATAAACCAACAAAAACAATTATAATAATAGTAATAAAAACAAATAAGAGGCCTATAGGTGAGTGATCTTGATTAGATTATAATAAACCACTAAAGATGACATAAAATGTTGATGATGTTTTAAGCTTTGAATATCATTGATTTAAACCACATGGACGACAGATAGACAACGAACGACTTAACACGAACTTCGTATAGGAAAATGGCCTTTAGTTCATAATATTGTTTAGTTATTTTATTATTATAATTTAATTCTTTGTTACCTAGTTGATTTTTATTCTTCAACATTTTATTGTAAATATTTCCAAGATTTTAAGATTAATGACAATTTGAGTAACGATATTGGGTGTGTATGAGTGGTTGACATTAATCAACAGGTGATGATTGGAAAGTCATTAATACTTTTTATGATTATATTTATCTTTGGATTTAAACAATAAAAAATTGTAAATTGAAATACATATAAAGTGTGTTAGAGTTGCAATACTCATACAAATAAAAACTTTTGAATCTTTTACAAAAAGACCACCCAAGTTTTAATTATAAACAAATATTCAAATAAAGAAATATAAAACAATTGCCTGCCTGCATTCTTCCATATTTTAATTCGTTTTTAATAAAAAATTCATAAATTTATTTGTTTTTTCTAACACCAATTTGTTTCAAATGTCCAAATTTGCTTACAAAGTGATAAAGTCTCTATACATTTTTATTTCACTATAAGATTTTTATCCAGCTCGTTTGAGAGTCTCAAACATAAATTGAACATTATCATGCAAATTTATTCGTCTCAACGTGTTGATATTTTGATGATCAGCTAAAAAAAATATTTTTATAAAACACTCAAATTGGTATATATTCTTAAAATTTGATGCAAATATTTATAAACTTTTAGATTAGATTTAGATTTTTTTATAGAAACTTACAAGGCTGTTTTTAATGATATTTTGAAATTCAAGTTCAATGTTAAATTAATTTATCTTATTTTTTAAGATTTGTTTGTGGCAAACAAATGTTGTTTTATAAGAACGGATTTAATAGTAAATATGTAAATTCTAGAAGTCCACACCATATTAAGGTAATTGGTAAAACGGAACTTTCATATACATATGTATGTATGAATAGTTTTTATTTGGCTATTATCAACTTAGTTCCAAAATAGAGTGACGAACGAAACAAACAGATTCATTGTTAAAGTTAACAATGCTTTAATAGGCTTATTTTCCATGACAAATTTGATCGTAAGCCATTGTTAGTTATAATTAGTTTACATATGTATACAAATTTTAACGTTTATTCTTATTTGAAAGCAGTTCTTTAAACAAATATATATCAGTATCGTCTTTGCAAATTAATTTATTATAAATAAGTTATGATTTTGTATTAGAAATATTCAGGAAGTTGGATTAAACATTTGTTTAAATTATAATACAAAATATGTGTGTGAATTCCTTTATAGATTCAAAAAAATGCATCCCTTTTTTAAATCTTAATGGTCAATAAACTATAATTATATTTAGACATTTAAACATTTTTAATGTTTTTCTTTTTCACGTTTTCAAGGTAAAAATCTAAATTTATTTGAAGACAATTCTTTGAAAAAATTGAATTTTGAATATCAAAATAAGGAATTGATCATAAAGTTTTATTTCGTTGGAAATAAAATTAATTTGCTTTTATTTTCAGCATTTTTCTTACTCTTAAGATTATTTCTTTCACAGTTATTCTTAAAACTTATAAGAAATATACATACAAGTATATTACCCACCATCAATATATATGTTTTAAAGTGAGATTTGAAATGCGGTCCTAAATACATGGACATGGATTAATCCTTTCGTAATTTAGTAGCACAGTGTAATGACATAAGATTAATGTTAATTCTATTATCATACATATATCGATATTAAAACTGATCGGGATGTTTTTTTGGTTTTTAATGAGGGGCCTAATGGACCGAGATGTAAGGAATTTGATAGAGTGATTTATTTTTTAGAATTGTTTTTGTGGAATTTTATCTTCTTCATCTTTTAATCATCTTTTAATAAGCCGATCCTAAGATGAACTATATGAGCGTGAAGCCAATTAGAGAGATATTTTCGTTCTTATACGACTTGCTTAAGTCGAAGGGGAACATGAGGACTAGAGACAAATATAATCCGATATTGTTGATACTTCTGAAAAATGTCCATTTAGGCCTTATTGTGTTTTACACACGGACAAAGCTTATCGTCTTAGAGCCTAATATGGATCCAGAATATATGTGGCCCCAAAATGGAAGTTGTTCCCACCAAAAATTTAAATTTAGTTCATTCAAATACACCATTTCTCAAAATGTTTTTTTTCCATCAATATTTGAATCAAAGGATAAAAAGGTCCTTTCTTGAAGTTCTGTAAATTTTTTTCCAAATTTTTAAATCGAATTTTCGAATTTATTTCGAATATTTGAAATGTAATTTGTCTTTTTTGTCATTGAAAGTAAAAACATTGAAAATTTCATATGATTTGGATTTGTTGCGACTTGCATTGAAAATTAAAGTTCGTTTTCTAAGTCTTTTGTTTTAAAAGTACTTATTAGGATAAACAAAAATATTGTTATTTTTTAACCATATTTTAACATTGATATCTTTGAAATCATCATCATCATCGATTAATTTAGAATGATTTTAAAATTTTGAAGGTTGTTATGGGAAATTTTGAGATTATTAACCTAATTAAAATTAATCGTTATTAAACAACCAAAAAGGTATTATAAAAAACAAATTTAAAACAAAATCACACAATAGTTTTATTTGATTTTTTTCAATAGACAAAAACTATTAAAATCATTTAATGGCGTGGGTGACGCCAAAATATCATAATTTTTTTATTCAGATAGATTTCTAAAGGTGATTTTATTTTTGATAATCGTTATTCGATTTATCATTAAGATCTTCAAACCTTGAATTATTATTTTATGATATTATAATAAAGGATATGCAGAGCACATAAAAAAGTCTCGGAAATCCATTTGAATTAAAAAAATGTATTTAAGTCCATTATTTATTATTCTCCTATTGCTGCTAAATAATATCTTAATGAAATTCAACGATTATTCGAATAAATCATAACCGATTAAATACAACATTTGACAGTTAAATGCTTCAAAACAAAAGTGTCACGCTGCGCTAATGACCAATCATTTCAAAAAAACAATAACAAACTGACAAAAATAAAAGAAATTTATTGCAAAAATAACAAAAACCCAAAAATATACATATTCCATTCCTGAGATTTACATTTTAATGCCGACCGACTGTCTGCGGTATTTTTTCTATTATTTAAAGCGACAAAGTTTAAAAAAAAACATAAAATTAATATGCAAAGATGGTTTATTATTGATTACAACGATAACATTAATAATAGTATAATATTTATGATTAAATGCTTCTTATTGTCTTCTTCATTTATTGAACTTATTAGTTAAACTTAAATAATACACTCTATTGTAATACAAAAAACTTTATATTAAAAAACAAAAATCACTTTTATTGAGTAGATGCTAAATGTAGTTGTTTTTGCTGCCGATTTGAAAATTACTCAATTTGATACACCAAAGAAGGTAGTGAAAAAACTACTCAAAACTGTCAACTAAATATTAATAAAAACTTTAATCTGAAAAACTATAATAAGATTTGAGACCAATCTAGATTTGCATTATAATAAGTTTAGAGATATCTAAATTATTTTGCATATAAACAAATAAATACAAAATCAGTTTAGATCAAAACATACAGTGTAGAACAAACAGCTCAAGAATACATATCCAAAGAATACAGTCGTAAATAAGACATTTAAACGTTAAAAAGGATTTAGTAATTAAATAAAAAATATTACAAAATGCGTTGTTTAGTTTTTATCGCTTTAAGCTTGGTGGCTTTAACATCAGCTGCTCCTCAATTCGGTTATGGATACGAAGCACAACAAACAGCTCCTCTCGGTGCCGGTCATCATGGTGGTGATAAATATTTGCCTCCAGCCTCCACAACTCCAGCCCCTGTAGTACGCAAACAATTTTATTTGGTTTCGGCCCCTGAAGATGATGACAGCCAACCTAAACACAAGCATTTAGTTTTAGGAAAACCGCAAAAGAACTACCGTGTGGTCTTCATTAAGGCTCCTAACTCTGGCGCTGGTAATGTCAAATATTCTGCCGAATATGCTCCTCAAGAAGAAAAGACTGTTATCTATGTATTGAGCAAAAAAGACAACGATTTGGATGCTAGCGACATTGCTACTCCAGCTCCTACTCAACCCAGCAAACCTGAGGTATTCTTCATCAAATACAAAACTCCCGAAGAAGCTGAAGCTGCTCAAAAGGAAATCCAAAGTAAGTAAAATAAAAGCAGCAATTAGTCCCATTTATTTATTACTCTCAATTATTTGCTTCATTTCTAATGCTTCTTTTTACTATTTGCAGATGAATACGCCAAATTGGAAGGTACCAATGAATTTTCTGATGAAGGCACTGCTCCTCTTACCTCTGTTGTTGGTGCTTTGGATGGTCTTACTCCTGAAGGTTCTTACAACTATCAACAAATCGCCCCTGCACCAAATTCTCAAGAAAAGTCTGCCATCAGCCAATATTTGCCCCCTATTAGCAAATAGGATGTTTAGTTAAGTAATATTGTAATATTGTAACTTTTTAATTACACTTGTTGATTATTATTTAAGAATTGAATTTCGTAATTGTAGAATTTTAGTATTTGTTGTTGTTTATTTTTAAATAAAAATTTGTTTTAAACGAAATTAAACTTTAACGATTTAAATGTGGTTTGTAATATTACAATTTGATGTATAATTTTTGAATTGTTTAAAATCACTACTATTGTATTAAAATCTTAAGATAATTTGGGCACCGTAACATTACGTTTGGTTCATCCCACAGCGCCAGTTCTGCTTACCTAAAGGGACCCACTGGGAACATTATATCACAACCACAACCTTCATACCAAGAAAGGTGAGGTTCTTACCCATTTAAAGTATATTAAAATTTAAGACAATCTAGCAATGTCCATCCGTTTATCTCTCTGTCTGTCTGTTAAAAGCATTACAGGATTCGAAAGGAAAAGGCTTGAGGGTTTAAGATATATGTTTTGCATTGGCCGCATACAATTGGACCCCGAAATAAAGTTTAAACCGTTATACAAATGTTACTTAAGCAAGAAATGTAATCGAATTTGGCACAAGTTAGTTTAACGTATTCAGAAATTATTCTTTAAAGTATGGCCAACTATCATATCCATCCTACCCATAGAAGGTCCACTTCGCAAAATCACTAATACACTCATAAGCAGCTTCAAAATATCATTTTAATAATGTAAATTGAACTAGGCAATTTCTATAGTTACATAAATCACCCTCTCGGGGTTTTTACAGTTTTTCCCTACCTATCGCGTCCCCGGGTGCAGATAGGAGTGGTGACTTAAGCTGAGGGAGTACAAACTGTCCAAAGACAGTTAGGATGCAGGACCTAAATACCAGTACCATATGCTCGCAAGCAATAAGCTACCTCAGCCTTTAAACATAGGTGAGGGTTTCTTGGAAGCCAAAATGCTGAACTGACCGTGGGAAAATTAGATATCTTTCACAGGAAAGATGAACCTAAGGGAAACCCTGCGCAAAAGGATAGATAAGAAACTGGACAGAGTGCAGTATACTAGGATGAGTATCATAGTAAACTTGGTGAATATAATAAAATCACTCGAAAGGCAATAGAGAATCCTATCCAAAACTCATGTCCAATTGGAATCTATGATCGATGACATGGGCAGGAGGCTTTAGGCGAGTATCGTAGATGAACCGATATTGAAGGAAGGGGAGGCTAACATAGAGAAATTTATTACAACTAGCATGGTTAAGGGCAATCAAGAGTTTTGCACCCTATAAAGCTGCAGGACCGGATGGTATTTTCCCGGCACATCTAAGGAACAGATGGATAGGCTGCAAGATGTATGGTACAACTATCAGGAAAAAGATGTTTAGCGGTACACCACATGGTGGCATTTTGTCCCCTTTAATCTGGGTAACCACGAATTATAGCCTCCTAAGGACCTTAACCGAGAAAGGATTTAGACCTGTCTGTCATGCAGAATACTTCTAAGGGGAAAGGATGCAAATTCTAAGGGGAAAGGATGCAAATTCTAAGGGGAAAGGATGCAAATTCTTAGGGGAAAGGATGCAAATTACTTGTGTAGAAGAGCTGAAGAGGCCCTGAATACGTCCTTGAGCTATGCTCAACCAAGAGGCCTCAATGTTAACTCGGCTAAGACGGAAATCTGTTTTTTCACAAGAAAGACAAAAATGTCTAAGTATATTGAACCCTGTTTCCTGGGCAAGAAGATACCGGTGACAGTCAGAGTTAAGTATGTACTTACTTGTATTAAACTACTACAGGGGGTTCAACGTACATGCTACATGACACCATGACCCCACTGCGAACTACGTCAACCAAGGCTCTGAAAACGTTGCTAGATATTCCATCCATTGAAACATATATAAGATATGAAGCGCCACTTACAGCCGAACGGATTATAACTGATCCCGGATAGAATGTCTTGGTCAACGCAAAACCATTTGACGTAAAGAGGGCAGCATGAAAAATATGGGTGAGAGAAACACCTTAGGCCATTTGGAATAACCACAGAGATCCTATGGGGCGACCCTAACGAGAGCAGGATAAGTAATTATAATCTTCTTATATAATTTTATAAGAATCGGTCTGTAATTTCTTTCTTTCAGAAACAAAAATCCGTACATAAATTTATAAAGACCAGTCCATAAATGACACAACCTCCGCATAGGATTCTACTCTTAAAATGCCTTATAACTTGCTTAAACATATGTACCTGTATACAAATTAAATTCGATATGAACAAGTAAAATTATCCTACTAAAAATTGACAGAGAAGTTAATACATTTCGTTAATACCATCTTTTAAAAATACTGCAAACATCTATATGGACTCAGCGGTGTCATTGGTTTTAAACAAAGCAGACTGATTTAAATTCAAATTTAATTTCTTTGACAGTTTTGAAAAATAATCTAATGCCAATTTAATTTAATATTGATTAATAGCCCATAGCCTTGGTGCTGCAGAAAACTGCTCATCTAATAATCAGCACTAATGAAAACATTATTAACAAATGTCATGAGATTGTTAACAAAAAAATAAATTAACTACAACTTGTTAACTACCAAAATGTATTCGTTTGTTTTTAGTATGTGTTTAATTTTCATTTCTTAATTTAAACGTATATTACACCATAAAATCAACGATTTAAACAAATGTTTTGACAACTCCAAAGACATAAATAAATGACTTCAAAACTAAAACAATACAAATACACAACAACAACAACAAATTTCAAATACACCTACGCAAATTTTTAAATCTCACGAAAAAGAAAAAAACAAATCAAATCATAAAATAACAAAAGAAGATATTAAATCTTTTCCAATTGTTGTGATTTGAAAAGAATTTGCATAAAAACAAAAATAGTTTGAAAAAATCACTTTTAAATACATTCAGTTTTTATTTCTTTGAATTTTTATTATGATATTATTAGAGGTAAAAAAGTCGGAAATGTTTTTATTAACTTTTATAGAGCTCCTCGACAATAGGAGGCATCGATTACGACAATCATTATGCGTATGACGCATCGGCTCTGAATTTTTCAAAATTTATTTGCAAAAAAAAAAAAAACAAATTTTATATGTTTTTACAAAAAAGTTGTTATTGAGTATTACCGGTAGTATATATACATAGTAATGTATTGTTTTTGTATGACCTCCGTTATGTTAGTGGTTAATTTTCTAGTCTGTCAGACCGGAGGTCGTGGAATCGATTCCTACTTGAGGCACTGGTAAGGGAGCTCACAACAGACCCGATAGTATCCTAGGTGTATTTCTTCGGATTTGATGTATTATACATCCTCCATTCAACTTAACCTATAGTTATATCTAAATGATCACAACTCAAAAACCCTACGTTCCATAAAAATAAAACTAAAGTTTTATTTTTGACATTTGTAACAAACAACATTCTCAAGATTATCAATTTCTTATTAACAAAAATTTTCGCAATAATAAGGAAGTTATAAATTATATTTAAACCAAAAAAACTATGAAATAATAATTGTTTTCGAAGGTGTTGAAAACAAAATGATAAATTTGTATATTCGAAAACAAAGAAAAATAAAAGAAATTAGCATTTTTCAACTCTAGTTGATATTATTTTAAAATCATATAATTTATGATCTGTTAACAAATTATTCGAACACTATTTTTGCATTATTTAATAAACAAATTTAATCCAAAATTTAAAACATGTTTTTTCATATTTCTTCCGAAACAAATAAAATGCACTATTTGGTTGAACTAAATTAACTTATTTAAATCATTTAAGTTCTGACTAGATAGGTGAAATCCAAATTCCATATTTGAAATGATCAAAATAAAACTCATCAGCAAATTATCGGAATAAATCAAGTTTTTCAACTGAGTTTTGCAAACTAAATAATTTCAATTAAATTTAAATAACAAAATGCTGAATAAAATAATAATTAACATTTTGAAAAACATCTTTAACTTTACCGCCCATTGGGTTTTCACACTTTAAATACGCATTTGCATCAATTATAAAAATTATAATTTTTTTGTTGTTTTCATTGTCTAATTTGCCTGCCAAACAAACAGTCAGCAGTATTCGGCATCAGCTTCATAATTGTTTCACTCCCCATAAATATTTTTTTTTTTACTTTGTTAAACTACTGCTATATTTAACTTAAACAAAAATAAAATAAAAATCATACATATTTAAAAAATTAATAAAAAATAAAATAAAAGCCAGTCTGTTCGGTGAATCAAAATAAATAAAAATGGATGTTTCTTATTGAAATGCATAAAATTGTTTATTGAATATTAAAACATTTTTAAAAGCCGACAAAGTATAATTAGTAATAAAACAATAAAATGAATGTCAAAATGCTAATCAATTTGCAAATGAGAAAACATAAATATTTTCATTGAATTTTAACAATGCAAATATAACAGATATCTTAAATATCTCATATCATCGTCGTCATCTCTTTGAATGCAAAGTTTAAGCTTCTGTAACATGTCTTCTCTCGCCCTATCTCTCTTGAACTTTTCGTGTTCGTAAGTCATTTCTTTTGCTGATACTGCAGAAGGTTGTTTTCTATTTTGTATTAAATCCCACTTTATTTATTGTAAATAAATACATTTGAAATCTCATGAATTATTATGAATTTATGATTACACCAAGATCATACACCTTGCACGCAAACACACACACTCATATATAAACATACCATCATATGAATATAGATACAAAAAAGCCGATATTCTGGATTTTCCCCTCTTTTTCAAAACGTATTTAAACTGAAATTGATCCAAGGTACAACTGTCTCATAAATCAAAGAGATTTAAATACAAAAAAACCGGTAACCACCGCCATCTACCATTAACAGTACCACCGTCATCACTGCTAACCACCAACCTTAGCTAAACTCTAAACCAAAAACCATAATCATTTAATCATATTCGTAACTAAAAAAGAACCATAATAACAACAAAAAACCAAAAAAATAATACAATATTAAAAAATCCAAAAATACTCGTAAAATTTAAAATCAATAACAATTATTTTCAAATAAATAAATTTCAATTAAGTTGTTACAACAAGACAAGAGAAGGAAAATATTTCAAGTTCAAATTTTTGTTTATC